CCGCAGTTGGGCGCGCTGCGCGCGTCGCTGCCGCGGCAGGCGAGCGGCAGCCTGCCGCACCTGTGGGCGCAGACGGACGACGATCTGCTCTGCGCGATGGTGGGAGTCTTGACCCAAGGCGGCGCGCGTGCCCTGCCCCGGCTCGAACGCAACGCTTGCATCCTGACCGTGGCCCACCTTTTCTGCGAGTGTGCTCTCCCTTCAAGTGCCCATCCGCCTGCCAGGGAGCGCGCCTGCATCGTCTCGTTTGTCAGCCGGCCGCCTGTCCTGCGAGGCGCAGGGCGCAGCGCTCACATTGCTGCAACCGGCCGCCCGCCCGCCGCGCAGGTGGTGGAGTACGGCCCCAACTGGGGGCTGATCGCGGACACGCTGACCACATATGCGACGCTGCAGGCGCGCCCGCGGTCGCCGCCTCCTGATTGTCTCCCGCACGCCTCTGCGCGCCCGGATGGCGGACTTCACCCGACTGCGTCCGCGCGTGCGCCGACCTGCAGACGTGCACCATCCCAAGCGGGGCGCCGCCCGCGCACTGGCGCTCCCTCTGAGAAGGCGGACTGGCCTCTTCCGGCGCGCCCGATCTTCCTCACCCCGCCCCGCGCCCGTTCCCTCGGCCGCAGGGGGTGAGCCGGCGGGCGGAGTGGTGCAAGGCGCGGTACGCCGTCCTGCAGAAGACGCCCATGGAGGTGCGCCCAATTTCGCGGCAACCGTACTGCAGACACGTGGCGTCTGAAGCAAGGTGTTGTGTGGATGCGGGATGGGAAAAAATGGCAAGCCCCTCCTAGCAGTATGTGGGTGTGTTCTCTTTCTCTGTGTGTGTGTGTGTGTGTGTGTGTGTGTGAGTTTTGCTCCAGACTCCACCCCTGGAGTGCCTTGGACGGGCGGCCCTTGATGCACCGCCCAAGGCTGTGCCCCTTGGGGCCCCGCTGCCTGTAGCATCCCGTTGACCGTTTTTCCAGAGGCAGCCTCCTTTCCCCGCGTATTTCCTTTCTTGTCCTACAAAGCGCCCCAACAGCCAGCAAACCCTGCGCCCGCTCGCAGCACCCGCAAGCGCCCGGGTGCCGCGCCACTTGCCCAACCGCCTCCAACCGCCCCCTACCGACGCGCCGAATCTCCGCAGGTCCCGGACGGCCAGGAGCCGCCCCGCAGCGCGGACGGGCTGCTGATCTCCTACGCATCCATAAGCAAGCAGCAGGTGCGGCTCGAACCGCGGCGACGCGGCCGCCGCGTCACGACTGGACCCTACGCCCCCTAAAAGCGCGCGGGACCGCATATTGCCCCACCCAACTGCCCTCGGACCCGCCCTCATCCGCAACCGTCGGGACTCTGCAGGCAAAGGAGGTGTTTGCCCGCACGTTGCCGGTCTCAGAGCATGTGCTGCGGCGCCACGTCGACACCATGGCGCCCGTGGCCGCCAAGTTTGCGTCGATGCGGATGGCCGAGCGCCAGCAGATCCGCGACTCCAACCGCGTGAGGTCGGCGCCGCACGACACGCACGTCAAGATAACACAGGCGAGCGATCGGCCCGCCTGCCCGAGCCGCGCGCGTGCGGCCCAGCCCCATCCGGTCGCCTGCGATCCCCGCTGCCGGCCTCCCCAGCCGCCTGGCCACCAGATTTCGGGGTGGCTGTGTGGTGATTTTCTTTGTTTGCGACTGACCAGGACGCGTGGTCGACCTGTCCGTCTTCCTAGCACTATCGCAAACACCGCTCTGCGCCTGGTGCTGCCCAACCACGACCAATCTGCAGACGGTGCTGATGCAGTATGGCGGGCGCATCCTGGACCCCCTGGCCGTGACTGCCTACGAGGATGCTTACCAGCAGCAGCAGCAGCAGCAGCAGCAGCAGCAGCAGCAGCAGCAGCAGCAGCAGCAGGCCTCGTCGCAGGAGCAGGCGCAGCGGCCGTCGGGACAGGCGGCTGCGCCGGCCCCTCAGCAGGCCGCTGACCCGGCCGCGGCAGCTGCGGCGTCCGCCGTGGCGCAGCAGCAGCAACAACAACAGCAGCAGCAACAGCAGCAGCAGCACGTGCAGCAGCCAGGGGGCGCAGCGGCCCCTTTGCACGTGCAGCATCCACAGCAGCAGCAGCAGCAGTCGGCGTACGTGCAGCACGTGCAGCATGCACCGCAAGTGCAGCAGGCTGTGGCGGCAGTGCCGCCACAGCAGCAGCTGCAGCATCACTTGCAGCAGCAACAGCAGCAAAGCCCAGTGGTGATGGCAGCAAGCAGCGGCGGGATGGACAGCATGCAATCCCAAGCGGCGGCAGCAGCAGCGGCAGCAGCAGCCCAGCAGCATCAGCAGCATGCGATGCAGCAGCATGCCATGCAGCAGCAACAGCAGCTGCAGCACGAGCAACAGCAGCAGCAGCAACACCACCAACACCAGCAGCAACAGCAGGCGGCCCTCCAGCAGCAACACGCCATGCAGCAACAACAGCTGCAGCAGCAGCAGCAACAGCAGCAGGTGGTACTGCAGCAACAGCAGCAGCAGCAACAACAGGTGATGATGATGCAGCAACAGCAGCAGATGGCAGCTGCGGCAGTGCCCGCGCCAGGCGCCTACGCAATGCACGTATCCGCGGCCCCTGGCATGGCCACGCCCATGCCCATGCAGATGCAGCCCATGCAGCAGGTGCAGCCCATGCAACAAATGCAGATGCAGCCGATGCAAATGCAGCAGCAGGCAGGGGGCGTCATGATGCAGCAGCTGCCCGGCATGCAGCCAGGCATGCAGCCAGGCATGCAGCCGGGCATGCAGCCAGGGTTGCAGATGGCGCAGTCGGGGCAGGCGGGGCTTATGGCCACGCCCCTTCCCCAAGGTGCGCGGCCCAGGGAAAGCGCCCACGCGGGGCCGCTGCTTCTCCCGCAGCTGGAGCTTAGTGCCTGAGAGCGAGCGAGCGTCGCGGCCGGTGCCTTGAAACGCCCCGTCATCAAACGTGCGAATTTCCCAGCTGCTGGGTGCATGCGCTCTAAACCCTGGCCTTTTGCGCAATTCCCTCCGGTCCCGCACGTGCAGGCTCCCTGGCCATGTCCATGCAGCCCATGCAGCTGCAGCCCATGCAGCAGCTGCAGCCCATGCAGCAGCTGCCCGGGCAGATGCAGCCCATGCAGCAGCTGCCAGGGCAGATGCAGGGGCTGCAGCCCATGCAACTGCAGCAGTGGCCGGGGCAGATGCAGCTATTGCAGCCCATGCAGCCCATGCAGCAGCTCCCGGGGATGTCTGGCGGTGCCGCACCCCAGTTGACAGCAGGGGTCAATTACTGGCCCATGGGCTCACAGCCCACACAAGTGGCCTGGCAGATGCAGCCGGGAATGCAGCAGCAGATGAGCATGCAGCCGCCCCCTGGCGGCCAGCCTGGCTGCTGACCGCCACAGACGGCGGCAGCGGTAGGGCGTCGGTGGCGCGTGTCGGGCGTTGCAAGCGGCGCCCGGCGAGTATCCTGCAAGCGAATGCCATGGGCTTGTGTTTGCAGAACCACATGTGATCGGAACCTTGATTGCTGGCGCACCGTTGTTGGGGCGTCTCCCACTGGCAGGCAAGAATTGTTTGTAGCCTGAGTGCCCTGGTGCGTGTGGGGGGCCTCGCTGCCATTTTGCTTTGTGGCTTCTTCTGATCATTTCTCTCAGCTGCATGCATTGTATCCCAGCGGGCGCTTGCCAGGTGGCATGTTCTTCTGCCAGCTCTTCCGCACGCGTGGCTGCTCCTGGGTCCCATTGACCACCAAGCACCTGCCTTGGACGCTACATTCAGTGCACAGACACCAACGGCCGTTGTGTATCATTCAATGACAAGCAGTGCAGTCAAACAAGCCTAAGTTTGGCTGCAATGGCCGCTCAGCCTGAGATTCCCATTCATTGTGCAACGCTGTTCCCAACCGTGTAGCGCCAAGCAAGTGCATCGCAGGCAGCATGTGAGTGCAGCAGCTACCGTGAGGATGTCACTAGCAACGTCACCTGCTGCTTGAGTGTGCACCAGTGTCTGTGCCGGGTATTCGCATCCCAGTGGCGTACCTGCTGCTATCACATGGCTTCCACCGTGAGCCTATAGCCTGGGCACTGCTTCAGATCGCTTGTTGCCAAGATCATCGAGCAGCTTCGGCAATACAAATGCCGAATCACGTATACTTCGACGATGATGACAGCACGCAGCCATTTGCGTCCACGTCGACGGCTGCAACCCAAATTCAGTATGCGCGCTGCTGCTGCAACGCGCGCGTCGACTACGATTTTGGAGATCCTTGCTATGTGTTCAAAATCGTGCGCAGCCACGACGGCTTACGTCTGGCGGCGACGCTGTCGAACAACACGATAAAGACGTACAGCATCCACGCTGACGCTCTCAGCCATGCGGGTGACCTCCGGGGACATTCCAAGAGGATTACGGACGCGCGCTTCCCGCTGCCAGATGCGCCGCACGCACTGTACAGCTGCTCCAGCGACGGCACTGTTCGCGGCTGGGACCTCCGCAGCGGGCAGCAGGCGGAGTGGTGAGCAACTTGAGGGGCCATCTAACGCACAGACGGCTGCTGTCGTCCAGGACCGCCCCAATCGCCTGTGCGTCCATGGAGTGCAGCCTTCCGGCGTCCCAAACCGTCCCTTTGACCCGGGGTCAACCCCTCGGGCCCAGCTCGCATCAATCTAGCGCCACCCTCAAAATCGGCCCAGCAACACAGACAGACCCTCCTGCAACCCCTTTCCTCCCCCGTCACACGCAGCTTCAAATCAAACGGCCAGGAGCTCTTCTGCTTCGATGTGCTAGGGGAACTTGTCGCAGCCGGCGGACCGGGGGACGTGCTGTTCTGGGACCGGCGGGCGGGCGCGGCGCTTGCGTCTTTCGACGACATGCACATGGATGACGTCACGCAGGTGCGCGCGCGCGCGCTCATGCGTTATACATGGTCCGCGGCAGGGTGGTGTGTGTGTGTGTTTGTGTGTGTGTGTGTGTGTGTGTGTGTGTGTGTGTGTGTGTGTGTGTGTGTTGTTGTTGGGAGGGAAGGGCACGATAGCTGGCCCCAACCGCGCCTGCAACAATACCTGCACCAGCGCCCGCAACAGCACCTGTAAATCCGTCAAGGACCAACTCAGCGGGGTGGCATCAGCGCCGCCGTTCAGGCAAATGGGTTGTTGACCGCACGCACGCGGCTGTGCGCTGCGTCCTCCGCAGGTGCGGTTCCACGCGCCCAGCCGCAGCCTCATCTCGGCGTCGCAGGACGGGCTCGTGGCTGTCCATGACGCATCTGGCGGCCTCAACCAGGTGGGTGAAGCGTGCATGTTTGTAGGTGTGCGTGTGTGCATCTGTCTGTGTGTGCCTGTGAGTGAGTGTGTGCATCTCTGTGTGTGTGGTCGTGCATGTGTGTGGTCGTGTGTGCATGTGGTCGTGTGTGCGTGTGTGTGCATGTGTGCGTGTGTGCGTGTTTGCGTGTGTGCGTGCAGAGGGCAGCGCCGCCGCGGCCTCGCGTTCAGCCCGATGCTCAGAACACTGGCGCCCGAACAGCATGCGTGTGCAAACGAACACACTCAAACTCCGCGCTGCCCCGCGGCCGCCCCCACATGGACACGGCCCCGCGCGCAGGACGACGGCTTTGTGGCGGCCCTAAACGCGGGGACGTCTGTCGAGGAGCTGGGGCTGTACGGGCCGGACGAGGGCCGCCTCTGGCTGCGCACCGGCACCGAGTCGCTGCAGCTCTGGGAGTGGGCCAAGGCGGCCGCGCCCGACGCGGAGGGGGGGGACGTGGCATTTCTGGACCTGACGTGGGAGGCGCGCGGCGCGCTCGCGGCCGCCGCGGCGCACGGCGGCGGCGACGCGGCGGCGCTGTTCCAGGAGGTGGATTACCTGGCAGGTTGCCACTGGGACGCGGCTTCCGGGCAGCTGCTGCTGGTGGCCGGCACCAACGCCGGCGCGGTCGGCTTCTTCCCGGTCGCCGAGGCGGCCGCGCTCTCGGGCGCGCTGTCGGGGCAGCCGCCGGCCGCGGCGGTCGCGCCGCCGCCGGTCGTCCTCCGCGGCTGCCACGACTCGGTCGTGCGGTCGGTCGCGTGCTTCGGGCCGGGCAGCGGCGGCGGCGGCGGCGGCCTGCTGTGCGCGACGGGGGGAGAGGACGCCAAGCTCGCGCTCTGGACGCTCGCGGGGGCCGCCGCCGGCGCGGGGCGGCAGCAGGGCGGCGGGCAGGGGGACGCATCCGACGGCAGCAACTCGTCGGGGCCGGCGCGGCACCGGCAGGGCGCGCGGCGCGCGGCGCCATACTGAGGGGGCGAGGGGCCGACGATTGTTCATGTGTGAGAGTGCATGCGTCAGGCAGCCGTGCACGCCAGGCGGATGCAGCTGAGTGTTGGACAGGCGCTTTATGATTTTCAGGCATGCTGGCGGGAGTTGGGCCAGCACCGCAGTTTTTGAGTTTCTGTGGCGCCTGTATTTCTATTCGCGTGTCGCCGCTGCGATAATGCGGCCAGCACCTGCAGTGCAACCACCAGGCTCCGCTGTGTCTGTTTCCTATTTGCTGCTGGCTGTGCGTTTCGTTTGCTGCGTTCTTGGACCCCGGCGTGCTGAAACTGGTAATGAAAGCATCAAGCGTGCGTTACCCCACATAGGTTCAGGATTGTTACAGCGCCTCCTGGCCGCCCGCTTGTGGAGCCACTCTGGCTCATGGGATTGGGCTTGAGAGCATCAACATTGTGCGACCAACACCCAGGTGGCTACCAAGCGCCGTTCAAAGCAGGCATGCACAAAGGCCCCAAGTGCGTGCTCGTCACATCATCAATGTGCATTGCAAAGGCCTGTCCATTTCGAGGTGCCATGCGGGCGGCGAATCCTGCGTAACCAGCAACACTCCTGCAAGGGCGCCTTCTGTTTTGGGAGCAGGAGCGTTGCCTGTCAACCAAACCTTTCACATTCAAACCTCCTTGACACCAATGTAAGCCCTCTACAGAAAACACCCTGCACCCGTATGCCCTTACCTATGTGTGCAGCTCTTGGTTTCGGCCGGGGGCCTACTCACAGGGCACGCCACGAGAAGGCGGCTGCACGTCGTGCCCCACTCACCTCAGTTGGGGGTGGTGGGTAGTGCGGTAGTGCGGTAGTGCGGGTAGTGCGGTAGCGCGGGTAGTGCGGTCATTCGGTAGTGCAGTAAAGTGGTAGTGCGGAAGTGCAGTAGTGCAGTAGTTTGGTAGTGCGGTAGGCGGTCGCGGCCGACCCTAGAGCGGGGGACGCCCCAACCCAATGGCCTGCACTAGCAGGGGGCACCTCATCCGCGCCAGCGGGGGGCTGGGCACGTAGTAGCGTCGTGTGCCCAGCCCCCAACCTACCCTCACTGGCGCAGGTTCATTGGCAACTCTTTCAAGCCCTGGGCAGCTCAGCGGGGTGGGTCGCGCCCGCGTCACCGCTGCCTCGCGGAAGCCCCCGCTGAGGGTGGCGCGACCGACTCGTCTTCCAGGGTAGTGCAGGGTTGTCGAGGTGGCGGCCGTCGTTGTTGAATGATGCTTATGGGCGCACGCAGGGACGCCTGTCGCAGGGGTGGCGGCGCGGCATGGTGGGGAGCGGGGCGATGGCTGGTAAACCACAGTGCGGCGTTCAGCACTGCTGATGCAGCAGGTAACAGCACACGCACGAACGCAAGTCGTACCTTATCCGTTGGTCTGTTGAAGACGCTAGGGGTTGGCCACGGTCGTGATGGGGATGCCACTGCGTGTTGCCCTGCATCTCAATCGCCACAGCAGCACAGCGCACATGCATGCACAGCAGGCGTCGTGTGCGCGCGCACTGCCGCGCCGCTCCCCCCTCTATCGGCCACAGCTACTGTTATGGATCGGACATAAGATGATAACCTGCTGTCTATGAGGCCCTCCCAGAGGCCCTCGCGAAGCGTGAACACACGGGCATGTATCGCGATCGGCCGGGGAAGGTGTAGGTGTAGGCTCGAAGGTGAGAGGTCATTAAAGATCTTACTGAAGGTCTTGTATATACCTGCGTGGGGAGTGGCCTTGCGGACGCACCGCACCGCAGGCGTGCTGCTTTCCAAGGGCTAGTTTGACTGTCGATCATGCAAACAAAAGATATGAATAAATTATTAGAAATGACTTTGTGATTGCTGCGTGCACGTTTTATGCGTGCAGTGCTGAGAGCAGCGACCGATGCAGCTGCACAGCAAGGCAGCTGTGCTGTACCCGGCTGGTAGGTGTGCTGAAGCTGGCTCACTTGCTGCGCTGCTGCCGTGCTGAGAGCTCCTGCTGCGCGGCTCGCGCTGCTGAGACCCACTGTTGCGGCAAGTTTCGGATTTATACAAGATCTAGCGCCGGCCATGTCCTTGCAGCTCATGTCATCGTAGCATGTTCACTGAGCGCTGCCTGCACGCGCGATGACACGTCGCCGCGGCCGGGCTCAGGCTCCCAAGACAGGAGATTTAGGCACACGAGGTTGCCGAGCCCCTCATACGGTACGCAACCCTGACATGCCGGTACTCATTCATGGCGCCGCGCACGCCGCGCCCAGCTGACCTGCGATCAGCTTACCCGTTGTCGGCTGCTGAGCCTGCGCTCGAGTGCCGTGGACCTGCCGCCCAGCAGCATTGCAACTGCCCCTGGAGTGGTCACTCATTGCACAGCGGTGCAGCAGTGCACGCCTGGCACCTCGCCAATGCAAGCAGTTGAAGGCAAAGCGGCGCAATGTGTGTGTTGGTTGAGCAGCAAATATTGTACAAAGTGAGATACAAAGAAATCCGCGAATCGTGTCAGCCGGCAGGGCCTGGCGGTCGCACACCGACGGCGCGACCAAACACACTGAACCATGCAATCATATAGCGCAGCAGCAGCGCGCGCCGCTTGCACCGCGGCATCCCTGTTCCGGCCCCCGCCGCTCCATGCGAGCAGCCGCCGGCACCGCCGCCGCCACCGCCGCCGCCAGGAGACAGCATGAGCCGCATCAGCGCCGCCGTCTGGCAGGGGTGCAGCGCCGCCCACGGCTCCCGCAGCGCTGGGTGCGGCATCTGCGCGACGTACGCCCAGCCGGGCACGGACGCGTCCGCGTGGCGCCCCAAAGGCTCTGCCAGCAATTCCAGCAGCTCCCCATGGGCCGCCGCGCCCCCTGCTCCCGCGCCGCCGTGTCCGCCGACGTGCCGCGCGCGGAACAGCAGCAGCGGCACGCGGTAGGAGGGCTGGTATGCAATGTGCAGGTCCAACACGCGCGCCGCGCCGCCGCCGGCGCGCGGGGTCCGGCTGCTGGGCGCGCCGCCGGCTGCCTCTGCGGCTGGCCCAGCGACCCCCGAAATCGCGGCCTCGTCGTCGTCTAGACTCAGGGCATCTTCCTCATCCACCTCGGCCCCGCCGCCGTCGCCGCTGGCCTCGGTGGCGGCCGAGGCGCCTCGCGGCGCGGCGGCCGCGGGTCGCCCATCCTGTGTGTCGTGCGTGTCGCGCGTGTCGTGCGTGTCTTGTGGAGTCTGCCAGGGCAGCGGCGCCTCTGCAGCCAGGTATCCCACCTCTTCCCCTGTCACAGGCTGGCGCTCCACCACCCAAAACCATGAGAAGTCCTCCGCCTGACTGCGATCCTCGGGCCGCTGCCGCTGCTGCTGTTGCTGTTGCTGCTGCTGTTGCTGCTGCTGCTGGTCGCCGCTGCCTTTCGCCGCTGCCGCCCGCTGTTCGCATGAGGGCGGCGGCCCTGCTCCGCCGTCGCTGCAGGCGCTGCGAACATCGCCAACGCGCGCCGCCCACCACGCAGCAAACTCAGCCGCCGCGATTTCAAAGTCCTCTGGCGACAGCTCGCCCGTCGTGGCACAGCCGACGCGGTGCGATTCGACCTCAGCTGCTCCAGCAGCAATCATGACGTCCGTGGAGGTAGGCGCAATGCTAGACGCTGCCGATTTGACTACAGCGTCCGCCATATAGTAAACCTAGACTGTCAGAGCATCATGAAATGGTTGCTGATGGCCGGCCCTGTCGCTGCGTCGCCGTCAGCGGCTGGGACGCCCTGCGCATGCGGCAGCACCGAACGGCGGCGGCACGCTGCTGCACAGGCGCGCACCGCGCCGAGCCAAGGCCGCCGCCGGGCCTCGGCCGCGTGGTGTTGGGCCTGACCGCTCGCCTTCCTCAAGCCCAGCCGAACAGCTCAAAGGTCGGCCGCAGGGACTCAACACGCTGAACAATGGCCGCGGCGGCCAGTGCCAAGACTGCGTCCAAAATCACCCACTTGAGCCACGGCTCAAACTCCTTGGGGCGGCGGGCAGCAATGTTTTGAAGCAGGTGCAGGCAGTTGTGAGGTCTTGCTCCACTCAGGGCTGGCGTGGCGCAGGACGGGCGGGTTGAGGCGGCCCCAGTGCAAGTGCCGACACCATCGCACGCCGCAGCGGCAGCGCAGAGGCGCCGCGCTCTCACGCCAGGGCCTACCTCCAGCACAGAGTCGATAAGCTGCCACAGCCAGCTCTTCAGGCGCTTGAGGAAGGAGCGCACCGCCTCTACGTGGGCCGCGGCCGCTCGCTTCCACCACGCGTCCGCGCGCCCGGCGCCGCTGCTGCTGATCGATGCCGCCGCGTGGGATGCCGTCCGCGATGGGGGCGATTCAGGGCTCTCAATAATCTCACCTACCGCTGCAAGCGGCACAGCGGCCTCCATGGGCTGTGTGTCTTGCCGAGAGCTGAGGCGGTCTCGATGCACACAGATCGCAGGATTGCACGTGGCTATTAAGTCACTTCCGACGTATGATATGTATGCTATATGAGGTACTTTGGCGCTTGCCGCTGACGGGTGAGCCCGGGTGACACTTGGAAAGCAAATGGGGTGTCCAAGTGAGGTGGCACGACACACGAAATATCGTTAAACACATGCGCATCGCTGTAACAAGCTACTCACAGCAATCTGAGTCACCGACAAAGTTCGATCTCGATCCCCACTTGCAAACCGTCGACACGCTCACACCGCGCGTCCTGGGGTCTGGCAGCATGGCAGGCGCCGAGGAACCGAAAGTTCGCCCGCTGCTGTCCTTTTCAGACCCCTGGGAGCTGCGGACGCGGCCGTTCGCGTTCGAGAGCGCCACCCGTAGCGACGCCGCCAACCCGCTGGGCCTGAATCACCTGAGGGACATGACGGGGCAGCGCAATTCGGCATGCGTGCGGGAGACCAGCAAGCTCACCTGCAGCCCCGAGACGCGAGAGTGGTGCGGGCCCCCGGTCACGCGGCAGCGCGGCCGCAATCCCTTGCGTTGCAGCATGTGCATGCATGCAAGCCCCGCGCTCTTCACAGGCCGCGGCAGCGCAGCATGTGCACTGCATGCATGTACATGTGCAGGCATGCATCCCGTCCTCTATGCCCCCAACCCGACCCCCTCCCCAGGTTCCGCAAGTACCTGTCGAACCTTGACCACTTCATACAGGAGGAGGGCCGCCGCACAGACATGGCGTTTGAATGGACAAGCCCGTGAGTCAAAAAGCCCGCTCACCATGCTCAAAGGGGGGGCATGCCCATTTGCATCGGCTCCTGCACTCCTTAAACTTGGATGGTCGCCATCAAACCTGCTACATGGGAGCCTGCGACCGCGTGTGGGCGCCACGGCCGCGCCCCGCTGCAGCGAGGCCTGGCGGCGCCGCCGCTGCCGGCCCGCAGCACCCTTGCGCGTGAGGAGACGTCCTCAAGCAGATTGTGGAGCCACTGACCCGAAAAGCAGCCCAGACCGGCCTCGGCCTCCATGTTGTGCGCAGGCTGTCGGGGCGCTTTTTCAAAATGGCACACATAGACGGCATCGAGAAGGAGCGCGCCATGGTGCGGCCCCTGCTTCCGCGCCATGCTGCCTGGCACCCGGCCCTCGCGCCTGCGACGCCGGCCGCCTCGCCGCTGGGGCCGCGCCGTGTTCGCCAGATGAGGATCGACGGCGCCGCGATGCCCCCTTCTGCATCAACACCAGCCTTTGGCCCTTTGCACCCTGGAAGGGCAGGCCGCGGTCCTCCAATAAATGTCCCTCACCTCCGTATTCTCCGTGTTCCCCAGGCCACATTCTTGTATGGCGGCCTTCTGCGGGAGCTGGCGCACCAACAGCTGGCGGATGCGCTGGGCCTGACGCCCGGCACGCAGGTGGCGGGGCTGTGCTGGGCAGGGGACTGGGGCAGCGCCCCGATCGGGCAGCGCCCGTCCCGCAGGGAGCGCCATCCTTGAGGGGTCCGCCATCCATCGGGATGTCGCTCTGCCTATGCAGCAGCAGGGGGCTTCCCGGGGTCCTCAATGCCGCAGAACCTGTGCCTCCAACGCGGGGGCTGCCGACGGCCGCTGCTCCGCGATGGCCGAGCGCCGACCCGCGCGCTGCGCCTCTCGCTTTCGCTGGCAGGCCGCAGAGGGGGACGCGCGCGCCGCGGCGATCGCAGAGGTCACCGCGCTGCTGCGGCAGGTGCGCGCGCCTCGCGGGTCCTGTGTTGTGTGCGCTCTGCACTTGGGCCCTGCTGTATCGGCCTGCACGGGCTGGCGTGCGGAACCGGCTGCGGTTTGCAGCAGCTGCCTGCCCAAGCGCTCCCCACCCAAACTCTTCTCCAATGACGGCTGTGCATTTCCCTGACACCTGCTGGCGGGCGCCTGCGCACGCACGGGTGCAGGCGGCAGGGGTTTTTGGCGCGCTGTCGGAGCGCCTGCTGCCGGCGATCACGGGGCTGAAATCGGACAGGTCGGCGGGTTTGCCTTGGGGCGGCGGCGGCCCCTAATCGGGATGCGTCGCCTCGGTGCGATGCGCTGTTCATCACAAGCCGCGCCGAGCCGATAGGAATGCATGCGTCAGCCCGAGCCGCCCCAAGCCGCCGCGCATGCTGCCACCAAAGATGTTCTCGCACCGTCCGGGTGTCGACATCGACGCTGGCAATCCGCCCCCGCAGGCCCTTCGAGCTCCTCCCCGGCACCGCGGCCGGCATGGCGGCGGTCAGCCTGGCGGAGGCGCAGCAGCTCGCGGCCCTGCGCCTGGAGGAGCGCGGCGGCGGCGCCGCGACGGTGGCGAGCCTGCACGCGGCGGCGGGGGAGCTGTACGATAAGGCGCTGCGCGACTTCCGGAGCGACGGCGGTGGGCGGGGGGAGGAAATCGCCCCTGGTTGCTTTCGGGAGGACGCCCCTTGCCGGGGGCTTGCCCCTGGGCGCCGCGGGCTGCGGCCGAGGTTGATATCGGTGGATTTGGTCTGGGGCGGATCGCGGTTTTGGAGGGGCGGTTTTGGGGCGGGTCCCTTGAGAGGCATGAGGGCGGGGCAGGGGCTGGGCTGGTGAAGGGCACACAGTCGAGACGTCTGTAGGGTCATCGCCTGCTCCTGGTTTGTCTGTCTGTGGTATCCCACAAAACTTGCACACACAGACGCACACACACACACACACACACACACACACACACACACACACAAACACACAAACACAAACACACATACACACACACATACACACTCTGACTTGAACACGTGCACGCGCCTGCCCACACGCACATCATCAATAATGCAGCCGAGAAGGAGATCTCCGATCGCCTCAAGCGCTACATCGGCTGCGCGGCCGCCCTGACTGCCGCGCGTGCCCACAAGCACAGCGCCGTCGACCAGCAAGCACAGCTCCAGGTAGGCGGGCCCGCCGCACGCCCGCACTGCTCTCACGCAGTTTTCGTGGCTCACGCCTCGGATCAAGAACGGGCCTGCTCATAAGCCTCTGCGGCAGGCGGCATCATGTATCTGTTGCCGAACTGGTCTGGGTTGGCACTGCTTGCCCTCTATCCCCACCTTAATTATAACCCTGCTCATCCCGCCAAACAGATTCAGTGTTGTTGATGTTCATCTATCACCATATCTATGTTTTGCCCAAACCCTGGTGTTCTGATCGGCCCGCAGGCTGGCAGCGCGGAGCGCGCGTGCGTCGAGGCCAAGGCCCTGCTGCAGGCCGCGCTCAACGCCGCCGACATCGACGCGGACTGGCGGGCCGTGCTGGAGGCTGAGAGCAAGATCATCGAGGGCCGGCGGTGGGTGTTACTTTTCGTTGCATCACGCCTTGCCAGCGAGGGGAATCCCTCGCTGGTGGGTGCGGGTGAATTTATGAAATATGGCGTCGCGCGTCGGGACGCAGTGCGCCCTGCGTTTGTGAGCGTCGGGGTTGTGGACCCCCTTGAGTGCATTTTCTTCTGTGAGCCAGGGCTGTGCGGCGCTGTGGCTGCTGCTGCGCTTCGCGTGCCACCGGCAGTCGCCTCTGCGGGTTGCGGGCTTGCCTTCCAACCCACTTTGCACCACTCCAGCCTGGAGCTCGCACCAAACACCCAACACACCTGAACAGACGCAATCACATGCACTTGCACACACAGTCCTTGCCACGCAAACACACATGCTCATACGCAAACACACACTCACGCACCAACGCTCGCACACATGCAAGCATTAATTAGCCCGCGCTGCTTTACCTTGCCCCCCCAAACCAATTCACATAGGGTGGCTATCGAGAAGGACCGTTTGTACGTCAGCATGCAGCCCATCCCCAGGGACGCCCCGCCGCTGCCAGCCGGGAAGCTTCTCGTCAGCGCAGTGCCATGGGAGGGCGAGAACGCCGCCGGCGTCGGCGCGGGCGTTTCGCGGTAGGGCCCGGGCCACATGCGCGTGTCGGGCAGGCGACGACTCGTGCAGGCCCGCAGACGGCGCTAGGCGAGGTTTCTGGCGGGTTGGGCAGGTGCCGTGTCGACATTGAGTGACCGCAGGGGCTGAGCTGCCAGGCATGCGGCGGACGGGCCGATGTCTCCGCACTTGGCAACCTGCACAGGCTTGATGGGGATTGGGCGTCATAGTTTAGCTGACAGCCAATAATTGCTTTGCCTCGGACAAGCAGGGGCCGTAACAAGGGAAGTGGTTTCACATTGCACGTATTGTTCGTGCTACAGTGCATGTGTGGGTGCGCGCGCGTGCGCGCGCGTGTGTGCGTGTGTATGTGTGTGTGTGTGCGTGTGCGCGTGCACGCGTGTCGGTGCGTGCACGTGTTTTCACGTGCGCTTGTGCTTGCGAGCGCGTGCTGCACATGCGTGTGTGTTCCTGTTTTTGGAAGCATGGTTTGGCAGGGTTTATCCTTTCTGCCTTCAAATTGACTTGGTGTTATTACGCCGTTTTCATATCACCACCCTACTGCTCACGCTGCATCATCAAACGTTTGAGCCTTACAATGTTTGTCAGGGTAACACATCCATGTTTGGTGAGTGGCAGTGCAAGGTGGCAGCATGGCAAATTGGCTGTATGCTGCGGCACTCAGCACGGGTGTCACACTTGCTCGGGTAGTCTTGATGTGTGCCTGCACAGCCCAGCCAAGTCTGCTGTGACGTCACAGCTCTTGTCAGCCGTTCGGCGATGATAGAGCCTCAGAGCGGCGGGTCACACTGGTGGCGCGCAAGTCCTGAAGCTAAGCGGTGCGGCACCTGCAGCAGAGGCCCTTGTGGTGGCAGCAGCGCAGCGAGCAAGCCAGCTTCAGCTCACCTGCCAGCCAACTTCGGCACAGGTGCTCGCCGCGCAGCTGCATCGATCGCTGCGCGCAGCTCTGCACGCATAAAACGTGCACGCAGCAATCACATTGTCATATTTTGTATTTTATTAACATATTTTGTTTGCATGTTCGACAGTCAAACTAGCCCTTAGAAAGCAGCACGCCTGCGGTGCGGTGCGTCCGCAAGGCCACTTTCCGCGCAGGTATATACAAGACCTTCATTCCGATCGTTAATGACCTCTCACCTTCGAGCCTACACCTACACCTTCCCCGGGCGATCGCGATACATGCCGTGTGTTCACGCTTTGCGAGGGCGTCCGGGAGGGCCTCACAGACAGCAGGCCATCATTTATGTCCAATACATGACATCAGCTGTGGCCGATCGAGGGGGGAGGGGCACAGCAGTGCGCGCGCACACGACGCCTGCTGCGCCTGCATCTGCGTTGTGCTGCTGTGGCGATTGAGATGCAGGGCAACACGCAGTGGCATCACCATCACGACCGTGGCCAACCCCTAGCGTCTTCAACACATCAACGGATAAGGTACGACTTGCGTTCGTGCGTGTGCTGTTACCTGCTGCATCAGCAGTGCTGAACGCCGCACTGTGGTTTACCAGCCATCGCCCCGCTCCCCACCATGCCGCGCCGCCACCCCTGCGACAGGCGTCCCTGCGTGCGCCCATAAGCATCATTTAACAACGACGGCCGCCACCTCGACAACCCTGCACTACCCTGGAAGACGAGTCGGTCGCGCCACCCTCAGCGGGGGCTTCCGCGAGGCAGCGGTGACGCGGGCGCGACCCACCCCGCTGAGCTGCCCAGGGCTTGAAAGAGTTGCCGATGAACCTGCACCAGTGAGGGTAGGTTGGGGGCCGGGCACACGACGCTACTACAGTACGTGCCCAGCCCCCCGCTGGCGCGGATGAGGTGCCCCCTGCTAGTGCAGGCCATTGGGTTGGGGCGTCCCCCGCTCTAGGGTTGGTTGCGACTGCCTACCGCACTACCGCACTATGGCTCTACCGCACTGCAATTTGCACTACCGCACTACCGCACTTCCGCACTTCGTTCCACGCTACCGCACTACCGCACTACCGCCCTACCCGCCACCCCCAACTGAGGTGAGTGGGGCACAACGTGCAGCCGCCTTCTCGTGGCGTGCCCTGTGAGTAGGCCCCCGGCCGAAACCAAGAGCTGCACAATAGGAAGGTTGGGCAAAGGGGCTTTTGACACTGTGTGGCATTGGCCTGGGTGTTTTTTTGTTTGTTTTGGGTTGTTATTTTTCGAGAAAGGGGCAGGCTTGAGCTGTGTGCAGATACATCCAATGGTGGGATGCCTGAGGGACAGTAGTGACGTGCGCAGGCTCCCGGCCAGGATCAGCCAATAGCTGCAGTGCGTGTGAAGGAATGCATTCAACATGTTTTACAATCAAGGTTGGGGAGTGGAATGGCATCAACATAACTCTAGTCTGCAGCTCAAACGACACCTACTTGCACAGCAGCAATCGCCACTGCAAGTTGGCAAAACAAAGCAAAGCCTCACCCCTCACCTCCAGCACGACCAAGCGTATCACCTACTGCTGCCCCTTGCCAACGCACCCTCGACTGCCGCCGACACCACCGACCGGAAGTCTGGCCGCTCGTCCCCCACCACCTGCCCAACCGCCGCCGCCCCGCCATCCGCGCCCGCCGCCAACGCGCCGGCGCCTTCGCCGTCGTGTGGCACGGGCGGCGACACCCCAAGGTAAGAGCCTGCATCGGCACCGGGGAATGCAGCGCCAGGCAAGCCCGATGCTAGCTTGGCGCGGCCGGAGAGCGAGGACGCTGACGGGGACCCAAGCTGCGCGACAAAGCTGCAGCTGACAGTGGCCACGCCGTCGAACTTGAGGCCGCCGGCGTAGTCCTGGCAGCCGAGGAAGAGGCCGCTGTTGTCGGCGGTGGCGGATTTGGGGTCGGCCCAAATGTAAGCCCAGGGCTGGGCCAGGCGCGCGCCCGCGGGGTTTGGTGTCTGGGCACGTGAAGTGGCAGGGGTGGGGCGTTATGCGTCAACCAACGACGTTGCTTGAGGCTGGTGATTGTGCTTGGGAAGGTGGATGATTTGTAACAAACATCCGCCGCAGAGCAGCGACACCCAGCCAGGCAAACGATCACGTTCAGCAGTCAGGAGAAAATTCTGCTGATGCCTGTCACCTGCGACATTGCTGTGACACTGCACATAGCCTGGAGCCCTTGGCCGTTGGCGGTTGGCACCAGCGGCTTTGACAGGCCCAGCTGTTTGAAGGTGAAGAGCTTTGTGTAGGCGAAGGGCTCCTTCTTGCAGGCGAGGACGCCATCCACCACTGCCGTCAGCACGACGGGCTCAAACTGCTTGACGGGGTTGACGCCTGGGCAGAGCGGGTGAAACAATATGTGCGTGTGCATGTGCACAAGGGAGTGTGTGGGAGGCATGCATGAGAGGTGGAGGAGTGGCCCACGCCCTGACAGGCTGGCTGCTCACCCTGCACTTGCAGTGCCATGTCGCATTTGGCCACCTCAAGCCGTATGCTTTGCTGGATGCGCGCCACCGCCCAACCAAGCCGCCCGGCCCCACCTGACGAGACGTAGCTTCCCTCCCAGGTGGCGAACACCACTGAGGGCTCGTACTTGGGGCCGGCCGCCTGCGACCCCTTCAGCGGCACAAACTCCTGCTGGACAACTGCGGGGCAGCGGAACGCAGGGCAGCGCAGCACATCGCAGCACAGCGGGCGACTGTAAGGGGTGGCCGGGCGGCTGGCTGGGGTGAAGGCTGGCGCAAACGCCCCTGCCCGCGGTCGGGCGGTCGGGGCTCTTTATTCGGGGCTGCTACTCAAGGTGTGGCATGATGGCTGCAGGAGCTGGCACTCACTAATGAGTGCGAAGGTGCCAAACCCCCTTCCCTGGCAGGGGAGGGGGTTTGATGCTGCAAGATACGGGCAGCTGCTACCGACTCACAGGATGTCATCGAGCCGATGCCAGATTCTATCTGGCCCAGGAAATCGGTGCACTTTTGCTGGTTCAGCCAGGGGTTCTAAAGGGTGGAGCCCGGGCAACGGTGATGGCGGCGGAGATGAGAACATAGTGAGTGATGTGCGGGGTTTCAAGCGTGCATAATAGCATTCGAGCAGTGTCGAGCGTTGGCTGATTCCCAAAGTAGTTGCTGACGTGTGTGGCACGGCACTTTCAACGCAGTCAGCGAACTGACCTTGACGGCGAGGCAGAGTGACTCGATGTCCTTGGGCTGGGGACGCGCGGTCGGCGCCGCAATCACCACAGCGACGAGCGAGAGCAGCGCTGCTGCAGACAAAACGGGGCTGAATCCCATGTTGTAGCCTTCGTTGCTGCTGTCAAGCGTTGCTGTTACAGCAGTGGTGGCAGACCCGACAGTAGATCACGGACCGCTTGCGGCGCGTGACTTGCAAATATATCACCAATATTAGGACGTTTTCAACCTGTTAAGGTGGTGTCTGAGTCTCAAGATGCACGAAGGCTTGCTGGTGTAAGCCGCTCCTGAGAGCGAAGAACCCGCTCGGCAGTTCAGCAGAGAATGTGGTGGTCGATGCAACGATGATTATTGAGTTAGAATGATTGAATCTAGTGGCCGGATTACACCAAACCCTGCCAGCTGAGGGCGGAACGTGGACAATCAGCTCTTCACCTCAGCTCTCCAGTGCTAGCGGGGCACAGAGAGCGCTGTCGGCCCCAAGGCAGCAGGCAGACTGCGTTGCCCCCTGCCCTCTTCCTCGCGCGTGTCCTGATGCACAAGCACATGTTCAGGCCGAGGTGCGGACTGCACAATTCGTTGTGAGGGGGCTGCCCTCCCTGGGATGTGCTTTTGACCATCAAACTGGGGGATCCACATCGGCATTTGGCACGGCAAATGCCGATAAGAGCCTGGGCTGCAGCGTGTACTGCTTACAACTACGGAAGGAAGCGCCGCGCGCAGGTCAAGGCGATCTGCATGGGGACGAGTCAGGGTGGGTCAAGGGCTACCGAGTTATTTTGGCGCCGCCGCGAAAGCCAGAGCTCAAAGGCCTGTCGCGCCCGCGCACCGTCAGCGCGCTGTCAGCACACCATGCGCCAACGAGCACAGCACCACAGGGCGTCGCAGCATGGGAAGGGTCAAACCGTACAAAGAAGGAGAGGAGGCCGCAGGAAAGGGGGCCAAGAGCCGTGCTACCGCAGCTGCTGCTGCCCAACATCAAAACGGCGCCGCAATTCTTACACCGCCACCGCTGCTCACGCCGCGGCCGCGCGGCCACGCCGACACGCATGCACTCGCCGGCCGCGCCGCTGCGGCGCGCGGGTGCGCCGGGTCGCCGCTGTGCTAGGTCACCAGCAAGGCACCAGCTCAGGACTGCGGCGCCTCAGACGATGCCGACGGGCAGGCGCAGGATGCCGGTGCCGTCTGCGTATGACTTCACGTAGTAGAAGCTGCGACAAAATGGAATTGTTTGCAACGTCGAGAATAGAATCAGTCAGCATGTAAGGATTCCTAGTCGAGGGAGTGACAAGCACCGCTTCATTGGGTTGAGTAGCAGGGGCAGCGCGCTGCTGCGCCCCTTTACCGGCCTGCCTGCCGCCCGCGCCAGCCCCGCAGCCTTGCCGGCAAAGCTGGCGCCGACACGGCCCGTAATCCCCGCAATCATCGCACCAGAAGTCTGCGAGGATGACCGTCTGCACGACCTCCGACAGCAGGACCATCACGGGCCACAGCCCGCTGCCCAGCGCGGTCAGCAGGTACTTGTTGCCGTCCAGCAGCTGCGGGGCAGTTTCGGGCGGGGGTGCGCGCGAACGGCTGCTTTGGGTTCCGCAACAAGGTGCGGCGCCCATGGCCGGAGAGCGATCTGATGGCGCCTTTCCTCATGCACAGGCCGCCGTCCCGCGATGCAGTAATGCCCCCGCTCGGTCTCTCCTCTCGTGCTGATCACGAACGGCAGCCATACACACACACTCTCTCTCTCTCTCACAAGTGCGCACACGCACACACACACACACACACACACACATCACCCACCCAGACACACACACCCGCAGACACTCGCAGACACGCATGCCCGGGGGTTCCCACCTGCAGCACCCAGTGCGCGCAGCTGAAGAACCGCGAGAGGCCGAGGCAGAACACGTAGTGCGCCGTGAACCGCTCCACCACCTTGCTGTTCTGCATCATGCGCAGCTGAGGGAACACAGACACCGCCTCCAGGTACACGCACACCGCCCACATGATCTACGGGGGAGGGGTGGAGGAGCACGCACGGCGGCGCGACGGCGACGGTTCAGAGGGCCGTTTGGCGGTCGAAGTGCTGAAGGTGGCCGCGTCGGGGCGCTTAGCCGGGGCACGCTGCGTCGCCGCAATCACACGCTTCGATGCTGCCCATGAGCCTGGCAGCTCCCGAGCAAGGCACGAGCCCGCGGCCGCCCTCATGCGGGCGAAGCCTGTGTCCCCATGCTGCCGGCCTCATGGCGTCGCCGCAGCCCCCGCGGTCGCGCGCCCTCCGGCGTCCTCCGGTCCCCTCTGGCGCCGCGGCCCTCACCCTGAAAGGCAGCCAGTGGCTCGTGTAGGGGTGCGCCACCACGGCACAGAGCAGGCAGGGAATCACCTGCCGCGAAGGCGAAGCCAAGCGAGAGGGCCGCCGCGGTCGGAAGGACGCTGCAGCGGGATGGAGGCGCCCGGCCGGCGGCCACTGGCGCCTGCAGTCGCGTTGCCGCCGTGCAGCTTGTACCCGCCAGCTGCTCTCCCCACCGCGCCGCCGAGCGAGGCGCTGCGCCGCTGCCGCTTCCCCAGACACGTACGCGGCCCGCCCCCGCCTGCAGCGGCCCGGCGCTGCGGAGACGCATTCCCCCCGTTCACGCCCTCCTCGTTCTGCTTGTTTCTGCGCGCCGCCGCGCCCGGGCCGCCCGCATCCTCATGCCCCTCGACCTCGTCCCCAGGCCGCCAGCTGCGCCTGGGGAGGACAGCACTCCCAACCTGGGCCCCTGGTGACCTGCCACTCACCACATAGTAGAACTTGATGGTGTCCAGGTCAGCTTGGTACGTGCTTGCCACCTGGATGACATCCGATGACATGTGCAAAAGGGGGGGGTGCACGACGACGGGTTGCTAGATGTGGCATGTTGCGACAACAGGCGCGACGCCCCTTCTTTGCTCTGACGCCCCTGTGCATCCGCCCGGTGCCCGCGACGCCGCCGCCGCCCCACCCCAGCGGGCGTCGGGCGACAGGCAGGGGGCACTCGCTCGGGCCGTTGGCAGGGGGTGGGGTCAGGGGCGCCCACTGGCGTCGGAACGCACCTGCGACCCCAGCATCGCAAACAGCACGGCCGCCGTCGCGGCCGCTGTCAAGAGGTCGAGGAGGGTGTGGATGTCGTACTCCATCATGAAGCTACGAGGAAGCCGGGGGTGGGGTGAGGTGGATATGCAGCGTTGACAGGAGCGTCCGTTGTGCATGGCAGGCGCCAGCGGCCTGCTGCTGGGTCGGGCGGGGCCGAGAGGCCAAACTGCCGCGGCCCGGGGCGTTTGCAGCAGCGGGGAGCTGCGGCATGCAGCCGAGTGCGGAGGAGCGAAAGCGGGTGCCGCTAGCGCGCCCCCGGTGCGCGCTTTCCTGCGTCTCAACCGCCCGCACCTGCAGTACAGCCGCACGACCAGGAACATGCCAGTGAGGATCTGGGTCTGCAGGGACAGGCCTGCAGATGCACCGGCGGTTTGGCAAAGGGGAGTTGGCTAGCACGCCGACCGTCGCACAGCAGCGGCACAGCAAAAAGCAGCAGCGGCAGCAGCAGCGGTGGTGGGCCGGCCCGAGTGGGAGAGCGCGCGATCGGAGCCGCACCTGCCACGGACTTTTTGCTGTAAATCTTCCATCCAAGCAGGCCGATGCCCACAAAGTGCGCGGCCTCCGCTAGGACGAACAGAGTGTCGTGATCTTCAATGGTGCGCCACAGAATGATCAGCAGCTGTCCGCGAGGCAGGCAACGGCAAGAAGATGATGCGTGAGAGAGGCAATGGATGGACCTGGTGTTCCAGTGGACGCTCCAGCCGGTGTTCTGGAGCGGTTGGCCCGTCCCGCGGCGAGTCTCACCACTAGGCCCGCGACGCATCCGAGCGCGGTCTTCTCCTTGGGTGACCGCTGCTTGATCCACCTAGATGCCGCAAGCATCGGGTCCCGCACTTTGCTGAGCTTGTCGTCCGCGTCCCCATGCCGACCCCCAGAGTGGCTCGAGGATGGCCCTCCCGCGCCCGCGCCGTAGGAGGGGGTGTACGACGGCTTGTTGCCACCGTACTGAGGCGCTGGACCACCAAAGGGCGGGGGAGGCCCGTAGCCCCCGCCCGCACCCACACCCCCTCCTCCTAGACCAGATCGCGAATACGGAGGAGGAGGTTGGAACGACATGACTGCTGTGTTGGTTTGGAGCCCAGACAACGGCAAGCTCCGCTGCGCTGCACTCTAGGCGGACGACGTGTGCTTAGTGAGGTGTGCACAGTGGCACCCGCCAGGGAAGCTGCTCTTCTACGGGATTTGCTGAGCCAAGTGTAGGCTTACGTGCACTGTCAAATCTGCAAAGTGGTAGTTTTGAAGGGCAGATTGATTTGGCCACGGCAAACAGCAGCCCTCAAAGAAATTTGATGACCAAGCGCCGTGGCTGGCTGCTGCTGCGGAGAAGGTGCGCCCCTCTTTGTCCCTGCGCGTCCGGATCCCCCACAACGTGTCGCTGCCGGCTGAGACGTGTTACCACGACACCAAATCCCACTTCTTGCACGAGCGAACGCGCCGCGGCGCCTCGACGCGGCCGACCAACGCAAGGCCAGCCGCAGATGCGGACGCGGCCGGCCAGCAGCCACCGCGCCCCTGCCCCGCAGCCGGCCCCGATCTGCCGACGGCGTGACGTCATCAGATGTCACCGGCAATTTCAGCCAGCTCCAGCCAACGCTCGCTGAGCGTCTGCTCCAGATCGTCCACCTCCCCCAACTCGCGGCTCGCCGCCTCAATCTCTGCCAGCGCCGCGCCCGCCTCCCCCAGCTGCATCAGCCGCGCGTTGAGCGCGTCCCGCCGCTTCCCGAGATCCGCGATTTGCCCCTCCAGCTTCTCGAACTCCTGCTTCTCGAAGATCCCGAGGGTTCGTTTCTTTGGCTTGGCCGCTGCTTTGGGCGCCGCGCCGCCGCCGCCGCCGGCCTTGGACCCCTTTCCGCTGCTGCTCGCCGCCGCAGGCGCCGCCTTGACCTGGCCTGCGCCGTTGTTGCTGCTGCTGCTGCTGCTGCCGCCGCCGCTG